CTTGCAAAAACCTTAACTCGGATACAGGATTAAGTGTTGTATTGCACGAAGTAGGTGCACATTAAGATAGATGTTATTGCAAGCATTACAAGTTTTAGGACTTGTAATGCTTGACCTGTTTCTGAAATTGCACGCAATATTGAATTAATATAATTTACAATGATTCTATTGATTTCATTTGTCAAATTTCGAAAACGCGAAAGCCAATATTTTTGCGAAGCTTCCTTTACATGTGGTAAGTGTAACGTAATCTAGGTTTACTTTACTGAAGCCTTGGTTATCCAAGTAGCTGATCTCAAGCTTTTAATTTGGAAACAATTGGTTCATCGAAGTGGGGGATATTTTTCATCAAATTCTCAATTATTATTATTATTATTATTATTATTATTATTATTATTATTATTATTATTATTATTATTATATTCTTTTTTTCAATATTTGTATTTTTATTTCAAATTTACGATTTCATTCGTTTAAAAATACATATTTTTAATCCCTTTCGATGTACTTGAAATGTCTTTGATTTGTAATGTAGTACATGGAAATATCTTTGCTAAAATAAATCATGAATTTATAATATAACAGAAATTTCATATCTTCTCCTTCGTTTCCGACCTCACTATAACATTATAACGACTTTTTAGTGCCCTTTTCAGCAAGGTGATGGCTTGATTATAACCAAAATTAAGAAAAAAAGACGCGTAGGTGCATTTAACGTGACACACGAAGAGAAAACATACTTTGGCGAAACAAACAAGATTCCTTTCTCGTGAATTTCTCCAGCTTCTATGAGAGAGAAACAGTTCTGATAAAAACGGACCTAATGCAGGCAAGCAAACAACAGCTCGTAAAGTGTAACTGATGCAAAAAGCTAATTACTATACAATATATCAGGAATATGTAACTTTTGTATACTTAAAGGTTTCATTTATCTTCCAAACACAACGACATCATTTCAATGTGTATGTGCAAAAAACTGAAAATCTCTTTGAAGGTCATGAGCAGCAGTACTGTCATGTCGTGCACATTGAACCTTTCCATCATCTAAGTCAGCTTCGCAGTATGCATTACCGTATTCACATACCATCATTTACAAGGAAAAAAAAAGATTGTACTGAAATACTTCATAAACAAAGGGCCGTCCAAAGAGTATTGTTTAACAGTATCTCGTCTGAGAATATTTTTCTGCAACTGCATTTGCACCGAGATACCGTATACTTATTCCGTGGCGTTTTTCCGCTTTCTGCCGCCAAGCCCCCGGTGCCCCCGATACATTCGTTGCTCGCCTGCAATCAGAGCAGCGAGGCGTCTTCCAGCGAAAGTCAACTCGCGCCCCTCCCGGTGCAAAACGGCGCCCAGATAAGCCCGAGGCCAAGGCTGCGACACACGATAGCGCCGCATATCGCTCTTGCCTTCCGAGACACCGCGATGGCGACATTGAAAATGAGGGCGTCGGAGAAAATAGTATTGACAGCCAATACTGCCGCATAAGCCATAGAGCTGCGGCGTATGTTGTACCCCAAGAAGGAAATAAACTCCCGCCTCGCC